ATAGCCAGCGTGGGGCCACTTTTATGTGAGACAGAAAACAGCACAAAAAACTAATACAAACATGTATTTCCATTTTCCCTTTCTTTAACCAGTCGAACCCCTCATCTGACCCCCAACAAATAATGTAATCTATACATTAGTCATAGATATGTTATGGATATTTTGAATGCGTGTTTTAAATTATAAAAAGGCAAACAAAATAAAGAATGCTCAGTTGTTTTCATTTGTGAAGAGACCAGTTTTTTAAAGTCTTGCTTTTAGGAGGTGGATCTCAGAATGAGGAACCGACTGGACATGTAATAAGGGATGCAGTTGTTGTTTGTTTGGTTCACCTCTGATGATTATGTGACTATGTGTAATTAATGTACAGTGATAAGCGACAGTTACAATTAAATATATATTTTTGTTTTAATATTGACAGCTGTTTGTGGCCATTAAATAATCCCTCAAAGTCCTTTTTTTACTGTACCGAAAGGCTTAAGAATACATGGGACAAACATACAGCAAGCAAATAAAACAATACAATTTAAAAGGAAACCACATAAAAGTATATACGACAAAAACATGAATACAGCAATAAACCAAAGGATTAATATTAAGATAAAATAAACACAATTAAAGCTGCAAGCAGCATTGGGCGGGCTCTCGCACTTGTAGCGCGTCCGGTTGTGAGCCGGCCGCGTTACACATTCTGGAGATCTGCCGGTGCGGCTGTGAATTTGCTACGCGGTTCCGACGCCGCATGAAGGTGTTATATGTCACTTCCTGTGTGGAGCTACATAGCACTTGCCACTATGAATATAAATCGGTATTGCTGTGTAGATGTCTGCGGGGTGGGAGAGTTATCAAGCACGTAAAGTTTGTTTCAGATGTGAGCATGTACACTGAAGTTACAAAAACTTCCTGTGTTGTGGCGAACAGTTGATCTTTGATGCCACGGACACGCCCATTGACGAAAACTCAAAGATAGCACAACTTTTCATCTTCAATGCCTTTAGAAGGCACAGCAGAAATTTGACATCGATCCGACTAAATCCCTCAGAGGAGTTCCTTAAAGTACGAAGTGTGTAAATCATCCAAAAATGGCCGTAAAATTCAAAATGGCCGACTTTCTGTTGACTTTAGGGTATGGGTTCTTGAGGCTTTTTTGTGCGTCTTGATATGATACGATATGATTTCCCTAGAAAATTTCATGCATGTAGGTTGAACGTGAACGAGGGGCTAATCTTTTTCAATTTTCTAGGTGGCGCTAGCGAGTCATTTTGCCACGGCCATGCGCGAAACCCATAAAATACAAAATTTTTCACCAGTTCTGACATGTGTCCAAAGTTTGGTGAGTTTTCGAGTATGCTCAGGTCCCCAAAATGGAGCTTACTTTGCAGAAAAATAAAAATCTTTACAAATTCAATAGGGACCTCGCACGGTCGTGCTCGGGCCCTAATTAGCATCAGCATTTCCACCATTTAATGACTGGAGTTTGCATCTTTGAAGGACTGGAAGTGTAAGAAGTTTACAAAGGAAATCTGTTGAATCACTTTAAATCACTTTGTCCAAAGTTCATTGATAAATTTATTACAAGAACTTGAAAGATTTCTGTAACTGTGATCCTGTACAGACTCAACTGATCTTTTCTCTAACAGGAGATTCTCCCTCTTACAGAGACACTGAGGAATCATGCCTGTCCCAGAGCCCAAAGCCAGGATAAAGAGGTTCAGTGAATGTGGTGTTGAAGGTGTGGAGGTGGATCAGTGTGTCAGAGGAGACTCTGTAAAAGGACAGAGTTCCAGTAGGACAGTCCACATACACTGCTACTCTGTGAGAGACGGAGGAGGAGGAGATGGTTGTTGTTGTGTTATTGTGACAGACAGAGTAACCATCATCATCAGAGCAGCTCAGACTCCAGGACTGATCACTCCCTCCAAACTCACAGTCTTCTCGGTTTCCTTTCCTTCTGATTCCTCTGTAACTCACTGATATTTCAATACTTCCTCTCCACTCGATCTCCCAGTAACAGCGACCAGTCAGACCATTTGTACAAAGCAGCTGAGGACACTGGTCAAATCTGTCTGGATGATCAGGATATGACTCATCCTCATCCACACACATCGCCTTCCTATTGTTGTCAGAGAGTTTGATCTCTCTGTTTACTGTGTTTAAATCAAGTGTGAGTTCACAGGAATCTGATGGAGAGAACAAGACACGATACAGCTGCAGTTATTAATCGATTGATTCAGACATTGTCACAATCTGAAGATTGCTGAATCTGTGCTGCTTTGTTATCATGAATCAAATGAAAAACACACTTACACTTCTTCAGACCTGGTCTCAACCATCGGACTCCACCAGGATCCAACCTGAAAGAAGGGGGGGGGGGGGGGGGGGTCAGATCCATAATAAGCAGATTACTGAACAAAATTTTAACAATAACTTTAGTAAAACAGATGCAAAATAGAACAAGTGGAAATATTGCACTCAGAAGGAGGAGGCCAAAGCAGCAAAAATGGCACAATGGCATCCTGGCTCTGGCTAAATGTACGTCTGTCCTCTGCAGATGCTCTAACCACAACCCAGAGGAGGAACTAATACAGATTAGAGCCAGACCAATTTATTGTTTTGCAGATATTATTGGGCAACATAAGCTACTTGCAGATATATCTGCATCGGCATTTATAACAGCTGATATATAACTATTAAAAAAGACAGAGAGTCGGATCCTTCCCTCAGTTCATGAGTGTTGCATAGCTTGCCCACCAGAGGGCGCTCTGCAGTCCCTCTGTTAACAACACTGCAGCACCACAGAGCTCAGAGACCATACCAGACTTGCAAACCCTCCCGTTTAGGAAATGTCAAGTTTTACACTCTGATGAACTACTCCTAGCAGGTTGGCCATATGAACTGACGATGCCATGTTGTAAAATGTGAGAGTTTGCAGTTAATGGCGTGGTGTGGCAGCAAAGTTCTGTGCATTGCCGTGACACAGGAAGTTGTTAACTTGACTGTAACAGATCTGTACAAAATTATACACGTTTGAGAAGAGCCCCACCCTGAAGTTTTCTACCCATAGGCCATCACTCTGATGAACAGTTTTTTTTAGACTTGTATGTGTACAGTGAGCACAATGTAAGACCGTCAGATTAAGTCAAATTTCTCATTTCTGTACACATACCTGGCAATTAAAACTGATTTACTGATTTAAATGTTATTTATGTAAACTAACGGTTTAGAGTGAAACTACTCAATTAAACTTTATTACTACTGCATCCAATTAAGGTTCTGTGTTGATACACCTTAACATGTTTAGGATCACCTTGTAGAAAAACCTTTCTAGTAAAGTCCACTAATTTAGGATAAAGAGGTGAGAGTAACCCACAGGATGTTGGTGTGTAAAAGAAGAGGACAACATCTGTAACACACAAAGCAGTCCGTGTTCCAGACTTCTGCCAGAAAACCACGGGTCAGTGATTGTTTCCCTTGAAAACCGCATCAGAAAACCTCTTTCTGATGGAAACAGCATCATTTCATGTGTTGGTATGTGGTATGATGATGATGGTATTAGTGATTGGTAATAGTTACTGTCAGGATCACTTCTGTTTACACTGTACTGTACATGTCATGTTTTTTGGCATTAAAAGAAATAATGACAGTTTAGGGAAAATACTCTTCTACTATTTATATCTGCTGTGACACACATGATATGTACACGTGAGTCCAGGAACATCAATAAAAACAGGTAGCACTTTAGTGTTGGTGCCACGACTGCCCTGGTCACTGCCCCTTCACCCCAAAAGTAGAGTTGGTTTCGATATCCTTTATCCAATCTTCCTCTCTTCCTTCCTTGATCTCTTTCTCTCTTTCCTTATAAATCTTGGCTCCCTGCTGCTTTTCCTCCTTGAGTGAATCTGAACTGAATCTGAACAGCAAAGACTTTCTGTAACTTCTCCAGCATGGCTTCTCGGTTGGTCCATCATTGATATCACTGACATCATTAAGCTTGGCTTTACATTCTTTACATTAAGTTGCTTCTGTCATTGATCACTCTCTCGCTCTCCACCCTGTCATTATTAATAATCAGTCTAGACTGAACAAACCAAAGTATCTGGACGGTGCTGTGGCAGTGTCATTGCCCTTTGAACAGCCAGTCTGGGGTTCAAATTCTAGTCAGGACAAGCCTCCAGTAAGGATCCCCAATGCTGTTTTCACATACAACGTGAAGCGAACATTTTGCGATTACATACAAAAGCTGATGCAATAGTGCGGAAAATCGTTTCATCCATGTAACTGTGCAAGAAAACATTTTTCAACTCAAGCACGAAATTTGTATAATACTGTGTCATGAAATCCTACCAGCGTTTAAATTTTCCAGATGTTATTCGTGTACCAAGGTCAACGAAAGGGCCAGGCAGAGTGAAGACAGAGCCTCTGCTTGTTGACTGACAGATACTGAGGGATAGGAAGCTCTGGAGGAGAGTGTGAGTTTCCAGCCAGGCAGTGTGCTAAGGTCCTGCTTCATATTTATACAGACACCGGACAAAACGGGAGATTGCTTGGATGAAAGTAAGCAGATTGAACTACCTAGTAAGTGCGGAAATGAGTCTGTCTTGTACTTTACTATGAAACAAGAAAGCATAGTATAGCCCTGATCGATCCAAATTCAATTTGTGTTGTATGGGAACACGGCATAATTCTACACAATCAAGCCAAAATCTCTGAAGTTCCCAAGAATTGGAAATAGGAGTGTGACGAGACACTTGACCCATGAGACAAGATTCGAGATTGGGTTCAGGAGATCGAGACGAAATATTTTTAAGAAATCTTTGATGCTGAATATATGAAAATTTATTTACATTTCCTGCATTCTGATTAATTTTTCGGATCCAGTTTTTGATGAAAATGATTCAATCGCGAGAAAAAAGGATATTTCTCACAATGACAGTTCCTTTAACATGCAGAAACCTACAAGGCTTCCTACAAGTGCAACTGTTCATATAACCCCTTCATACTTTAGAGTATTTAGTCTCCAGTGAGGACTTTCCAGTCCAGTAGACAGTAGCTTCACTCCTGAGTCTCTTGGATGATTGTAGCTCAGGTCCAGCTCTCTCAGATGGGAGGGGTTGGAGCTCAGAGCTGAGGCCAGAGAAGCACAGCCTTCCTCTGTGATCAGACAGCCTGACAGACTGAAAACACACAAAACAACACACATGGCCTGATGTGTCAAGTGCAAGAGGACTAAAATAACTAAATAATACTAACTAACTAAAATAAATAATACAGTAAACAAATCACAGAGTTAACAGTAACCGTGCCATTGCGATCTAAATGTTTAGAGTTCCATTCAACTTATGTACCCACACAGGAAACAAAGATTTTTTGGCCCAGATTAAGACAGAAGAGTTTGCAGGTAAATTAGAGATGTTCATTTGAACAAACTGTGAACTTACAGAGCAGGTGAAGCAGTCCAAGACAAAGCAAAAATGATGGAGGAGGAGTTACTTAGTGAAAATCCTATAGTGACGGTGTCTGCCCCCCGACCATCGAAATTATTTAAAAAGGTAAACAGAAGAGGAGCTGTGCATAAAAACCTCATAAAAATTAAAACCACAAGAGCAATAGTGCAAACGAATAGGAGAGTTAAATGTGGACTCTTAAACATCAGATCTCTCTCTTCTAAAGGTGTACTAGTAAATGAAATAATATCAGATTATGATTTTGATTTATTTGGTCTTACTGAAACCTGGCTGGGTGATGGAGAATATGTTAGCCTAAATGAATCCACCCCTCCCAGTCATATTAATACTCACATTCCTCGAGGCACAGGCCGAGGAGGTGGAGTTGCAGCTATCTTCGACTCTAGCCTACTAATCAGCTCTAAACCTAAACTAAATTAAAGCTGCAAGCAGCGTTGGGCGGGCCCTCGCACTTGTAGCGCGTCCGGGTGTGAGCCGGCCGAGTTGCACATTCTGGAGCTCTGCCGGTGCGGCTGTGAATTTGCTTTGCGGTTCCGATGCCGCATGAAGGTGCGATATGTCGCTTCCTGTGTCCCCTATGTGGAGCTACATAGCACTTCCCGCTATGAATATAAATCGGTATTGGCGTGTAGATGTCTGCGGGGTGGGAGAGTTATCAAGCACGTAAAGTTTTGTTCAGATGTGAGCAAGTACACTGAAGTTACAAATACTTCCTGTGTCATGGTGAAGAGTTGATCTTGATCATTATAGTGTACCGAGCACCTGGTCCGTACTCTGAATTATCTGAATTTGCAGAGTTTTTGTCAACTTTAGTCCTTAAAATGGACAAAGTTATTATTGTAGGGGATTTTAATATTCATGTGGACGTTGAGAATGACTGCTTTAGTACTGCGTTTATCTCTTTGTTAGATTCCATCGGCTTCTCTCAGAGTGTTCATGAACCGAGTCACTGTTTTAACCACACCCTCGACCTTGTTTTGGTATATGGTATTGAAATTGAACATTTAGTGGTGTTCCCACAGAATCCCTCTTTGTCCGACCACTGTTTGATAACTTTTGAGTTTGTATTGCTGAACTACATGCGATTGGGCAAAAATTTCTATACAAGATGTCTGTCTGATAGTGCTGTAGCTAAACTTAAGGATGCGATTCCATCAGCTCTAAATTCATTATCAAGTCACAAAGTAACGGAGGACTCCTATGCTAATTTCAGTCCCTCCAAAATTGATCATCTTGTTGATAGTGCTGCAGGCTCGCTGCGAATGACTCGACTCTGTAGCCCCTCTAAAAAAAATACTAAAACAAAGACGGTTAGCTCCATGGTATAACACTGAAACTCGCAAATTAAAGCAAATATCGCGGAAACTTGAGAGGAATTGGCGTTCACAACCATTTCTAGGGTTTACAAAGAATGGTGTGAAAAGGGAAAAACATCCAGTATGCGGCAGTCCTGTGGGCGAAAATGCCTTGTTGATGCTAGAGGTCAGAGGAGAATGGGCCGACTGATTCAAGCTGATAGAAGAGCAACCCTGACTGAAATAACCACTCGTTACGACCGAGGTATGCGGCAAAGCATTTGCGAAGCCACAACACGCACAATCTTGAGGCGGATGGGCTACAACAGCAGAAGACCCCACCGGGTACCACTCATCTCCACAAATAGGAAAAAGAGGCTACAATTTGCAAGAGCTCACCAAAATTGGACAGTTGAAGACTGGAAAAATGTTGCTTGGTCTGATGAGTCTCGATTTCTGTTGAGACATTCAGATGGTAGAGTCAGAATTTGGCATAAACAGAATGAGAACATGGATCCATCATGCCTTGTTACCACTGTGCAGGCTGGTGGTGGTGGTGTAATGGTGTGGGGGATGTTTTCTTGGCACACTTTAGGCCCCTTAGTGCCAATTGGGCATCGTTTAAATGCCACGGCCTACCTGAGCATTGTTTCTGACCATGTCCATCCCTTTATGGCCACCATGTACCCATCCTCTGATGGCTACTTCCAGCAGGATAATGCACCATGTCACAAAGCTCGAATCATTTCAAATTGGTTTCTTGAACATGACAATGAGTTCATTGTACTAAAATGGCCCCCACAGTCACCAGATCTCAACCCAATAGAGCATCTTTGGGATGTGGTGGAACGGGAGCTTCGTGCCCTGGATGTGCATCCCACAAATCTCCATCAACTGCAAGATGCTATCCATCAATATGGGCCAACATTTCTAAAGAATGCTTTCAGCACCTTGTTGAATCAATGCCACGTAGAATTAAGGAAGTTCTGAAGGTGAAAGGGGGTCAAACACAGTATTAGTATGGTGTTCCTAATAATCCTTTAGGTGAGTGTATAACACTTTCATGCGGCGTCGGAACCGCGTAGCAAATTCACAGCTGCACCGGCAGAGCTCCAGAATGTGCAATGCGGCCGGCTCACACCCGGACGCGCTACAAGTGCGAGGGCCCGCCCAACGCTGCTTGCAGATTTAATTGTTTTTGAAAATGTTACTGTATGGACCCAGTAGTGGACCAGCTGAAAAATGACCACTTGCATTACTGCTGTGACATGAGGCAAGACTGGAAGTTTGGAAAGTTTACAATACAGGATATTGCAAGGATTATTATGTGAGTCAAACTGTATACAATATAGAACAGTGTAATCAGAGAGGTGGAGGAAGATGGGAGAAATTTTTCGGTATTGTAATTTTAAATCAGAAAAAATAACAGAAATCCTGATGAGAGGGGCTGTTTAAGTTCAATGGACCTTACATTTAGAGAAATAACTCATATAATTTGAGGAAAATTCTGACATGATCTTACCTGAGAGTTTCCAGAGTACAATGTGGACTTCCCAATGCCGCAGACAGCAGCTTCACTCCAGAATCCTGCAGGTTGTTGTTACTCAGGTCCAGTTCTTTCAGACTAGAGGACTGGGAGCTGAGAACTGGGACCAGAGCTTCAAGACTCCTGTCTGAGATGTTACAGCTAATCAGTCTGGAGAATAAAGTAATCACAAGAATGAGAAGTGAGAGCAGAGGTTAAAGTACCATTTTTCAGAAAAACCTGAATTTGTTTCAGACAGAGATATATATTTTGTTGTCTATCAATATCAGGTGGTATTTTGTACTAATTTAGAACGACTTCAGTATTATTTCCCTTTGAAAATAAGTCGCACATTATTTCTTTCGACCCCGTCAGTTGGGACAAAAGTAATACACAGATGGGTCAAAAGTAACACACCGATACAAGCTAGATTTTTTGTGTTATCCTTGTATTTATTAAACAAACAAACATGATTGTGACCTGACTGTGAAAGATGTTTTATTTGAGATAGTATCTTTATTTATTTAATAAGACATACATCTCTTGTGCCTAACCTTATCTTTGCCACTAGAGCCCTTTGTCTGTGTATGGTCAGACATGCTCAGCGTGCATACTGAAGTCTCAAAATAAGACGCTAGTAGTGGCTTCCAGTAAAGATGAGGCTAAGGTCCAGTCGTTTGCTGTAAATTAACCACAGGATAAACAGAGGTGTTCCTGACGACACGTGTGTATCTTACGCATATGAAGGCAAAGTGTTTTACCTCTTAAGTTAATATTAAGTTTTAGTCAACTTTAAGACTTGTCTTCTGTAAGGATATTACCTAGATGCATTCCCTGATGACATCAAGATTATCATTTTAATCAGAAAAGATAGCACTATTTGCCTGTATGTCACCAGCCATTAAAAGAACGAACGTTTATTCTTTGTAAAAGATCATGACAACCCGTGTTTGATGTCTTTTCTGCATTTTGTTTGTGATTTTCAATTGTGTAAATAAGAGAAGAAATGCTAATTTTATGAAGTGGAAATTTGAAAAGATTATATAATCATAGTTTGTTAAATGTACATGATAAGTTCCATTATTTTACTTGATATTTTTTTTGTTAATTTGTAACTAGAGTAAAGGGATGTTGGAACTACTAGCAAGAAGAGTACGCTACCTATAAGAAAGAGGAAGGATATGAGGTGATAATGAAAGAATCAATCAATCTGATGGCTAAGTTCTGGCAGCCAATGAACACCTGGAAAAAGGGGGGCAGGTCCTTTCTGCCGATGAATTACTTAAGTTGCTGACCCTCAACCTCAAGAGAGCAAAAAAAAAGGAGCGAAAAAGGAGAAAATGGGAACTTTTGTGGGCTTCTTTTTTTCATTTTATTGAAAATAAATAGGTTTGTCTTTTGGTGAACATCACAGAGACAGTAGAAGGAGTTTCTGTTCCTTTCGTCTTTGAACCTGGAGTTAGAAATTTAACACAGACGATCAGGCCAATACCTAGTATTAAAACTACCTTGTTACCAGGGGCCTCCTTTTCTTCCTAAGGGGTATTTGAGTCATAAAGCGCTAAGAACACCCGGGAAAGTGGTGACCAGTGAGAGCAGGGTTACCTGTCAGTGGTCCAGTGGATTTAAACATTTAATATATAGAATAATTTACTATTACTTTAATATATAGGTCTATAGAAATTTTAATTACGGATATTCACAGTGATGATTTATACACCTAAAACAAGGGGGAGATGGTTAGATGGAGATTGTTTATGAACCTGACACGATTAAGATAAAAAAATAAATAAAAAAAAATTTAATGATCCGGCACTGGGATATTTGCATGTTGTAGCAGCTTCAGAAACAGTGGGAACATTAAACATAATTTGGCAAGATAGATCACTGAAGTGATATGTACTGTGAGCTCTTACTAGTATTTATTGCTGCTCTTACTAGTATGTATTGTCAGTTGTAGATCTGTAGTTGATGCTCTGTTGATGCTTCTATGTTGTTCCTCAAATGTAAGTCGCTTTGGATAAAAGCGTCTGCCAAATGAGTAAATGTAAATAAACAATAAAATTAATCATTACTGTGAAACGAGAAAGTAATTTGGTTGGTTCTGTTGCTCCACAGTGATTTTACACTGATGGCACAGCATGTTTTGGGCATCACCCCTAAGCCTTAACGGCAGGAAAACCCTGTTAATATGACCTCAGAACCATTATAGATACGGCTGTTCATGTTTGCCTTTTGTGTCTTCATTTTACAGCTTCTGAAATCTTCAGCTTAGTCTCAGTTAGTACCTGATGTTCTCAACATTGGACAAATAATATATATATACAGCTTCCAGTTACTTTCTATAAATTGAGCTAATGTTAACTTACATAGCAGCTATGTAACTGCTGTAGAAGCTGCTCAGCTGCCCAGTCTGAAGGGGAGGAGCGATGTTAGCTAACTTAGCGCTAACCGGCTTCACTTTTCTAGAAAGTGGGAAACAGACTTTTCTTGGTCTTGAGAAGCTAACACACTGTAACAGACACCGTACATTTACTGCCAGAATATTTTCCTCCGCTCGCGTTCACCGTCACTTTCTGCCGCTTGGACAATCAAACACTTGCTCCACACCTCCCGATTCAGAGTTACGCTGCTCTTATAACTCCATCTGTCATGTAGATGTTCTGCATAGAACGGAGAGAAAGCGAGCCGAGCATTGAGTGCTGCCGTGCTCGCACAGTGTGAGAGTGAAAACATTTGTAGCGCATAGTTTAATGATCGTGGGAAATTTTAATAGTGGCAGTCGTGAATCATGCATATAGGGAAAACACTGTTTATGTTGTGCAATATGTGAATCTGAAATGGAACTACATCAGAAAAATATTTTCTGGACTGTTTTGTCTGAAATTCTGACACAAAAGATTAAGAAATCCTAATGAGAGGGTCTGTTTAAAATGAACAGAGCTTGAAATAAAATAAGCTGAGAAAGTATTCATCTGACCTGAGAGTTTCCAGTGTACAATGTGGACTTTCCACTGCAGCACACAGAAGCTTCACTCCTGAATCCTGCAGGTTGTTGTTACTCAGGTCCAGCTCTCTCAGACTGGAGGACTGGGAGCTGAGAACTGAGGACAGAGCTTCAATACTCCTTTCTGAGATGTTAAAACCACTCAGTCTGGAGAGACAACAGTAAGAAAGATGGTATTTATTTATGTTGAAATGTAGTATATTTAATTATGACAAAATCCCACTTACACAGCTTTCTTGGAGGCTCTGACCACTGGCAGCAGCCTCAGAAGAGCCTCCTCTGAAGCAGAGTATTTCTTCAGGTCAAACACATCCAGATCTTTTTCTGAAGACAGTAAGATGAAGACCAGAGCTGACCACTGAGCAGGAGAGAGTTTATCTGTGGAGAGACTTCCTGAACTGAGGTACTGTTGGATCTGCTCCACTAGAGAACGATCCTTCAGTTCATTCAGACAGTGGAACAGATTGATGCTTCTCTCTGCAGGGGGAGTCTCTTCGATCTTCTTCTTAATGTACTTGACTGTTACCTGATTGGTTTCTGAGCTACTTCCTGTCTGTGTCAGCAGGCCTCGTAGGAGAGTCTGATTGGTCTGGAGTGAAAGTCCCAGGAGGAAGCGGAGGAACAAGTCCAGATGTCCATTTGGACTCTGTAAGGCCTGGTCCACTGCACTCTGGTAGAACTGTGTCACTGCAGATTCATCTTTTGTTGTTTCAGACTTCTGGGAGGTTGATTGTTCTTCTTCCAGCAGATTGACACCAGAGTTGATGAAGGTCAGATGGACATGAAGAGCAGCCAGAAACTCCTGAACGCTCAGATGGACGAAGCAGAAGACCTTGTCCTGGTACAGCCCTCTCTCCTCTTTAAAGATCTGCGTGAACACTCCTGAGTACACTGAGGCTGCTCTGATATCGATGCCACACTCTGTCAGGTCTGATTTATAGAAGATCAGGTTTCCTTTCTGCAGCTGCTCAAAAGCCAGTTTTCCCAGAGACTCAATCATCTTCCTGCTCTCTGGACTCCAGGTTGAATCTGTCTCAGCTCCTCCATTATATTTTACATTCTTCACTTTGGACTGAACCACCAGGAAGTGGATGTACATCTCAGTCAGGGTCTTGGGCAGCTCTCCTCTCCTTTTGGTCTTCAACACCTCCTCCAGAACTGTAGCAGAGATCCAGCAGAAGACTGGGATGTGGCACATGATGTGGAGGCTTCGTGATGTCTTGATGTGGGAGATGATTCTGCTGGCCTGCTCCTCCTCTCTGAACCTCTTCCTGAAGTACTCCTCCTTCTGTGGGTCATTGAACCCTCTGACCTCTGTCACCATGTCAACACACCCAGGAGGGATCTGATTGGCTGCTGCAGGTCGTGTGGTTATCCAGAGGCAAGCAGAGGGAAGCAGGTTCCCCCTGATGAGGTTTGTCAGCAGCACATCCACTGAGGTGGACTTTGTAACATCAGTCAGGATTTTAGTGTTGTGGAAGTCCAGAGGAAGTCGACACTCATCCAGACCGTCAAAGATGAAGACAACCTGGAACTCTTCAAACCTGCAGATTCCTGCTGCTTTGGTTTCAGGAAAGAAGAGATGAACAAGTTCCACCAAGCTGTACTTTTCCTCTTTCAGCACATTCAGCTCTCTGAAAGTGAATGGAAATGTGAACTGTATGTCCTGGTTGGCTTTGTCTTCAGCCCAGTCCAGAGTGAACTTCTGTGTTAAGACTGTTTTCCCAATGCCAGCCACTCCCTTTGTCATCACTGTTCTGACTGGTCGATCTTTTCCAGGTGAGGGTTTAAAGATGTCTTCTTGTCTGATTGTTGTTTCTGGTCTGTCTAGTTTCCTGGATGCTGTTTCAATCTGTCTGACCTCATGTTCATCATTGACCTCTGCAGTCCCTCCCTCTGTGATGTAGAGCTCTGTGTAGATCTGGTTCAGAAGGGTTGGGTTTCCTGCTTTAGCAATCCCCTCAAACACACACTGTGACCTCTGCTTCAGGTTAAATTTAAGTTCACGCTGACAAACTGAAGCAGGAGTTCCTGAATGAACACACAACAAACAAGATTGATTTATAAAGAAACTGACAATTTAATTCCCGTGAAGAATGCATATATACACAGTTCACTCCATCCTGAGACATCAGTAAAATGTCCTGTTTATCGGACATTAGTGTTACGCAGAGGCGTGTGACCTCTGACATAAATAGCAATTGTAAGTCGCTTTGGATAAAAGCGTCAGCTAAATGAATAAATGTAATGTAATGTTATCCAGCATGTTAAATCTTTAGAGAAATTCTCCTACCACTCTGCAGATGCTCAGCCAGCTCCTCCTGCTTCATTTTCCTCAGGAAGTGCTGTGTGATCTTCAGAAATGCCTCTCTGCTGCTTCTCCTCTGCTCTTCATCCTGATCGTCTAACACATATTCATCCTCCCTCTGACTATCTAGGCCTTCAGGGTAATTTGAACTCAAAACCTTCTGGATCTTCTTCAGCTCGTTCTTCACAAAAATGACAATTTTCTCCTCCAGCAGCTAGAACAGAATATTATATGAATGACACAGTCAAACTAAAATCAAGATCCTTGTTGGACAGAAGAGCATTGAAATTATTGTAAACAGAATCGATATAAAAGTAGTTGTTGTACATGTACAGACCATAAATATGGAGTCCAGGTGTGTTTGATGCTGCTGGACAGACTGACCACTGGGAACCTCTGAGCTCTCCTGGTTGACACTGTGGAGGAATCATGAAGAATTAGCTCATATTATCAACACAAGATAAAGGTGTTTTAAATTAAAGTATTAATTACAACATTGAATCAAATGGTTTCTCAGATGGCTTTATGTTTTAGCTGTTTTAAACCTTTCACTCTCCACTGGAGATTTTCCGTCCAAGGTTAAACCATTACTGAAGAAACCGAATCTGGGTATAAAATCGTAGGAAAATTATAGACCCGTTTCTAATTTGGCCTTCTTATCTAAAGTCTTTCAGAAAGTGGTCTCAAATCAGAAAAAAAAATACCCGTTATGTTGCCTGGCTGCTGTGAGGAGGTGGTTATCAGCAAATCTCTTGCTACTCAGCTCAGCAAAAACTGAGATGATAGCTATTGGGCCAGCTAGATTAGGTCATTTGCATGACCGTTTTACTCTATCCATTGATGATTCGGCCCTTCACTGCAAGGAGAGAGTAAAGAATCTTGGGGTCATTTTTGATCGATCACTTTCATTTGATTTACATATTAAAGAGGTGAAAAAAGTAGCCTTCTTTCATCTCTGAAGAATCGCAAAGATTAGATCAATATTGGCACTTAAAGATGCTAAGACCCTTAATCATGCCTTTGTTACATCTAGGCTGAACTATTGTAATATACTGTTCTCTGGGCTGCCTAAGAAAAGTTTGCGAGGTCTGCAGATGGTCCAGAATGCTGCAGCACATATTCTGTCGGGATCATCTATATGCATGCATATAATTCCTGTGCTGACCTCACTGCATTGACTCCCTGTTCAGGTTAGGTTTTGTTGTTAACATACAAAATAGTGAATGGCCTTGCACCATTATATATGTCTGATTTTGTGCATACACGGTTACTGCGCTCCCACGGGACAGGACTTCTGACTGTACCAAAGGTTAGAGGAAAAAAAACGGTTGGTGAGCGAGCATTTTTGTTTCATGCTCCAACATTATGGAACAGTCTTCCAGCAGATATTAGGCTGTCATGTTCAATTGAGGTTTTTAAATCAAAGCTTAAGACCTACTTATTCACTGCTGCGTCCTAAATGTTCAATGTTTATCTTTGATGTCTTTGTATAGTGGTATTTATTTTTCAGTGTTTCAATTTAATTGTACCATTTTTATTTTAAATTTGTTGTTTTTATAAAGCACTTTGATTGAAAGCGTTTTATAAATAAATGTATTATTATTATTACCATTATTGAGGGACTTGCACTTGTCTCTTGGGAAAACAGAGACAGACATGCAGAGGGATCACTGGGGTAACAAACATGACAAGGGTTACCGAACACTAGACGAAAGACAAGACAGACCCCCAAAACCCAACAGACCAAAATAACGCTAACTAAACACAAAGGATGGCCAACCGGCACAGCGTGACAGTACCCCCCCACCGACGAGCGTCTCCAGATGGTCAACAAAACAGCACAAAAACAAGGCCCAAGCCGGCCCAGGGTGGGCGGAGGGAGGACAGGAGGAGGGCAAATCGAGCCAGGGTGGGCAGAGGGAGGACAGCAGGAGGGCCAGACCAGGAACTCTCAGGTGGGTGGCCAGAGGGCAAGGCAAGGGGGCGACAGAGTTCGGGAGGTCGCACAAGCAGGCCAAGGGGACAAAACAGTTCTGGCAGCCGTCCCAGAGGGCAACCCAGGAGGCCGTGCAGACCAAAGGGATCATGGAGTTCAGGAGGCCGTCCCGGGTGGCCAGAGGTGAACAAAAGTTCAGAAGGCAGACCTGGAGGTCGACCGAGCAGACCAGGAGGGCAAAATAGTTCAGGTGGGCATCCCGCGGGACGACCCATGAGGCCGGGCAGACCAGGGGGGCCACAGAGTTCGGGAGGCCGCGCCGGAGGTCGAACCAACAGGCCGGGCAGAACAGGGGGGCCACAGAGTTCAAGGGGTTGGCAGGACGGCCAACAGTGAGGCAGCAAACCCACTGGGGGCCGAGCAGGAGGCCGACGGCAAGACCTCTCTGGAGGTCGGCACCTAAAGCTTGGGTGCTCTGGAGGCACAGCTGGGCTGAGGACCACCGGCGAGACAGCTGGGCTGAGGACCATGGACTGGACACGAGGTGCTGGAGTCGGTCTGACCACCGACTGAGCACTAGGAACAGGAATCGGCTGGGCCACCAACGGAGCTGGTGTTGGTCGGACCACCGACGAGGGAACAGGAGTCGATCGGACCACCGGTGAAGCAGGTGCCGACGAGGGAACAGAAGTCAGCTGGTGATCAGGCTGGCTGCTAGCAACGCTAGCAGGCCGGGGATCAGGCAGGTGGGCAGGCAGAAAGCTAGCAGCACTAGCTGGCCTGGGATCACGCTGGTTGCAGACGGGTTGCTGCTGGTGACCTGGTCGCCTCCGATGACCACCCCGGGAACCCGAAAAGATGACCAGGCGACTTCCCTCGAAGGAGGACTCCGGGGGAAGTCTAGCCTCCAGGCTATCAGGCCATAGGCTAGCTGCCCGTGCTGCCTCTGACTCCCTGGCCTTCATGGTCAGGGAGGCCAGGAGAGTCATCGTCTTTGAGTTCTTGGTAGGTGGGGCAGGCAGGCGGAGGGGCTAGCAGCGCCAGCCGAACAGATAACAGGCAGGACAGGCGGAGGACTAGCAGCGCTAGCCGAGCAGGATACAGGCCAAACATGCGGAGGACTAGCAGCGCTAGCCGAGCAGGTTACTGGCAGGACCGGCGGAGGGCTAGCAGCACTAGCAATCTCACACTGGGGGCTGACACAGTCTCTAAATCAAAAGTCTTTCTCCACCGGGAGGAGGCCACGAGCAGAGCCATCTCGGGGTCGGTCCCCCACATGACCGAGAGCAGTTGAAAAAACTGTGGCTCCTCTGCTGTTAGCTCCTCCTTGGGCACCCCTAATTCCTCCCAAGTGCTGGGCAACTTAACTATGTCCGCTGGGTCCATGTTTGGTCCGGTCATTCTGTCACGATTAGTGGTGTGGAGGCAGGTTGGAGGACCCAAACGCGGGACACAGAGCGGAGCAGGTATAGTTCAACGGGGGTTTATTGATGGAAAACAAACTAAAGGCGAGCACACTTACTGACAGAGTGGCTGGTTAACAGAAATCCAAAATCCAAAAGTACAGGGAGACAAGACAAGCAAGGCTGGTTACAGGCAGGCAGAGAGTACACGCACGACAGACTGGGGGGTAACATAAACAATGACCGGACAAAGACAAGACAGAAACACCAGACATATATACACAGGGACTAAAGAGCAGGGCGGGAGCAACACAGGTGAAAGACATGAGGCTAACGAGGCACAGGTAGGGAGAGAGAGAGAGAGCAGGGGAAAACAGAGACAGACATGCAGAGGGATCACTGGGGTAACAGACATGACAAGGGTTACCGAACACTAGATGAAAGACAAGAGAGACCCCCAAAACCCAACAGACCAAAATAACGCTAACTAAACACATAAGTGCAACACAAAGGATGGCCAACCGGCAGAGCGTGACACAGCCAACAAGGGGTGAAGAGTTCTCGTGCCACACATAAATTTTCTCACACAGTGACTTTTTTTCTATATTTACATTGCATTGCATGTTTTCTTATGGTGCCAAAAAAGCTTTCTCATAGCACTTACATTTATGGTTAACATTTCTTGTTGCAAACTATTTTTCAGAACATTTTCAACAAATGCTTTTAAAAAGTGATGGGAACAGTGAGAACACTCCCCAGTGTGAATGACACCTATGATCAAAGCACATATTGGAACGCAATTACGTCTTTAGAAACACTGATATCCTGGTTAGTTTTTGTTACCCAAACATGATCTTGAACATGATCGCTTTTATGATCAATCATTTTTATCCTCAGCACAGAATAAAATCTAAAAGCTAAACTGCCCCTTTTTGTAACACACTGACTCTGTGGACATTAAGGCAGCTGTCAGGTTGGCAACATTTGCACAAAAACACTTAGCATGAGCTACATTACTGCAGTAATCACTGTTTAAACTAATCTGTACAAACCGATGAACAGTAACCTTTCATATTTCAATTCAATTCCATTTTATTTATATAGCGCCAAATCACAACAACAGTTGTCTCACAGCGCTTTTCATAAAAGAGCAGGTCTAGATGATACCCTATGATGCTATTTACAGAAGCCCAACAGTTCCCACCAAGAGCAAGCACTAGGCAACAGAGGCAAGGAAAAACTTCCTTTTAAGAGGCAGAAACCTTGAGCAGAACAATGGCTCAGGGTGGGCGGCCATCTGCCTCGACTGGTTGGGGTGAAGGAGAGAGAGAGAGAGAGAGAGAGAGAGAGAGAGAGAGAGAGAGGGAGAGGGAGAGGGCAAGAG